CCTTGGGGGCGGGCTCGGGGCAAGTTTGTGGGATTTAATCGCGGGCTATAAATGGGGTTGCTGGAACTTTAAAAGGCAGCAAGCTGTGGTTGGCTGGTAGCGAGATTTGGAGTAACATATGGCATTAAAAGGCGCACAGCTGGAGGTAGCATTTCCATCGCAGTGAAGTCAGAGCAGCTGACTCTCCAGCTTGCGGTGTAATTAGCAAACCGAGCACTCCTCCTTCCCTCCGCCCGCCCGCCTGCCTCCCTCCCGCCGCGCCGCGCTCGCACCCGCACCGCTCCGCGCTCCTCCTGCACGGCTCCGGCTCCGCGCCCCGGGAAGGTAAGAGCCCGGCGGGCACCGCACCCGGCCCTGCCCTCCTCCCGCCGCTTATCCCCCCTCAGCTTTTAATAACTTCGAGGGAAACTTTTTTTCCTTTTTTTAAAAAAATTATTTTTTTCTATTTTTTTTTTCCTCTTATTTCCTGCATGCGGAGCTCGGGGGGTGCTGTCTCTCTGCCCACCCCGCGTCCGTCCCTTTCCCCCCCCCCCCCCCCCCCGTACCGGGGATTCCGCCCCGTCCCCAGCGCCTCCCGCGGGTTGTGTTGTGGTTCGGTGCATAACGACGAGGGAGAAAGTTTAAATAAGGGCTGCGTACGGGACGGGATGGGCTGCGTTGGGGGATGCCCCGAGATGGGTGGCCGGGAAGAGCTGTGGAGTTCGGTGGTTGTTCTTTTTTCTTTTTTTCTCCCCGTGTCTTCCTCTTAATTTTATTAAGTGAAAGAAACAAAGGTGGAGGGACTGCTGCTTTTTGTGCTTTTGTTTACTTCCAATCAAGTTTTTCCTGTTTGGAGCAGGTGCGAGGGGATGAGGAGCTGTTGTGCTGTTTTTTCCTCTTTTTTTCTCCTATTTTCTCCCCCCCTTCTCTTTCCCCCTCCCCCCCTACTCCCCCCTTTAATAAAACCATTACACCCAATTAGCAGCAAACGCTATCTCCGTGGCTCTCCTTTCGCCTCGCGTTACCCCAAAGCCGATCTGTTTGCTCCAGCTGCTAGGAGGCTTTAGTTTACAGTAGCATTCAAGTTTTTCCTGTTTTGAACAGGTTATGAAGGAAGAATGGAGTTTCCAGACCATAGCCGCCAGTTGCTGCAGTGTCTGAGTCAGCAGCGTCACCAGGGCTTCCTGTGTGACTGTACTGTGTTGGTTGGAGAAGCTCAGTTCCGAGCGCACAGAGCCGTCCTCGCCTCTTGCAGCATGTACTTCCATCTTTTCTACAGGGACCAGTTAGACAAAAGGGATATTGTGCATCTGAACAGTGACATTGTCACGGCCCCTGCCTTCAGCCTGCTGCTCGAATTCATGTACGAGGGAAAGCTGGAGTTCCACAGCCTCCCGGTGGAAGATGTGCTGGCCGCCGCCAGCTACCTCCACATGTATGACATTGTGAAAGTCTGCAAGGGCAAGTTGAAAGATAAAGAATCGGGCTCGGAGGAGAAGCCAGGCGATGAGGCGGCCGTGCTGGACAAAGCGGAGCGTTTCCTCGATGAGTTCGAGCCGGGGGGCAAAGCCAGATCGGAATACGAGCGGGCTGTGGGCAAGGAGAAGGTGGGATCCCACCCCGCCTGGACCTGCGGCCCCCCCCAGCCTCAGCCCGGCCGAGGCAGAGCCCTGCGCAGCGGCAGCTGGAAAAACAAAGGCGAATGTCAATAGTTGTGTGGGACCTTTGTCCCAAAGGTCTGCCAGCCGTCCCCCGGTGTCGAGTGAGGCCGACTGCGCGCTGGATTTGTCTTTCAAACCCGTGCTGGGGAGAGATTCCTTGCAGCCCTCCTATGCCTTCGGACAGCTGGCTTCCGACAGCCAGCAGCAGGGCACCGAGCCGCTGGTGAAGGATGAACAAGAGTCGCTGTCAGAGCGGGAGGACGGCGAAGCCGGCAGTCCGGAGAGTCAGCATTTTGGGAACTCGGCCAAGAGCCTGGTGACAGGGTTAGGACACATGTTCGCAGGGAATGGCAGCTCTCACGGCCGGGAGGAGGACCTAGACCAAGAGCGAGAGGAGAGCGAGGATGACATGGACCCCGCGGACATCTCTGCGGGCGTGCTGGTGCCTCCGGGGCACATCTGCATCTGCCCGCTGTGCAGCAAGGTGTTCCCCAGCCCTCACGTCCTGCAGCTGCACCTCAGCTCCCACTTCCGTGATAAGGACGGCGCCAGGAGCCGCCTCTCCCCCGACGGCGCGGTGCCCACCTGCACCCTCTGCGGGAAGACTTTTTCCTGCATGTACACCCTGAAGCGGCACGAGCGGACACACTCGGGCGAGAAGCCCTACACCTGCGGGCAGTGCGGGAAGAGCTTCCAGTACTCGCACAACCTGAGCCGCCACGCGGTCGTGCACACCCGTGAGAAGCCCCACGGCTGCAAGTGGTGCGAGAGACGCTTCACGCAGTCGGGGGATCTGTACAGACACATCCGCAAGTTCCATTGTGGCCTTGTCAAGTCTTTGGTTGTTTGAGACGTGGGATTCTTATTATTTTCGCATCCCCCCCCCCCCCCCCCCCGCCCCCTTAAAGCGGGGAAAAAAGGGGGCATTTTAATTTTTTTTTTCTTTTTTTTTTTTTTTTTTCCCCTTTTTTATTTTGGTGATATTCACTTTTCAGGTATTTGATCTTTAAAAGATGCAGAGGTACACACTCCAGAGGCCTTTCAATGCAATTCCACCCCCCCGTTTCCCCAGCCCTGCCCCTCTCCCCTCTCTGCCCCTCAGATCTTCCCATGTTCCATTATTAATGTGAAACAATCTCACTAATTCTGCAATGATTTAGCACCTGTTCTCGTGCTGGAAGTACTCGCTCTGTGGTTGGGGAGGTTCTATTTATTTATTAAGTTTTATTTTAAGTTGGAAGAAGGATTGATTATCAATTCTGGAGAAGTGCTTGGATCCTGTTAAGCTCCCTGATTCATCTGCATGTTGCCCAGAGATGTTGGGGGAGATGAGCGATGCTTTCAGTACATTTCAGTGCAGAGGAAGTTCTCTGTAGTGCTCTCTCTTGAGTAGCTGGCAGCAGCCTTGTGGTGCTGGAGGAAACTCTAACTGGCCCAGAAAGTAAAGGGGGGAGGGAGGAGGGTGAGAATTCCTGGGTACATCTTTGGTACTGCTTACTTTTTAAAATTCTCTTCTTTATTTTGGAATAGCTCCGCTATTGAATGTGAAGGTTTGCCTTCAGGCCTGACTTATTTCCCTCCTACCTATCTTCCTCACCTACAGAGCTGCCTGGTGGCCCCAATGGGCATGGATCCATGCTGTTCCCAGCTGCTTTTATCCCCATGTTGACACGCAGGGACTGATGTGGTGGGAACAGCTTTGGGCTGGTGCTGCTCCAGAAGGCAGGAGATGCCCCGCTGTCTGCTCTGAGAGGTGTCCTGCTGCCTTGCTTGGATCAGCAGCTCAGGATTTAATTTATTTTGATTTTTCATGAAGTTGGTGATCCCTCTGGGCCCGGGTCTGTGCAGTCCCTGAGGGCCGAATGAAGGGTAACCACTGGAGGGAGGCACAGCCCAGCTCTTCCCCCCCATCCCACCCAGCCACTCACCACCTTTCCAGGGGAGGTTTTAGATTTATGTTTGTATTATTTTAAATTCCTGTAAGCGGAGGCTGCCTGTAACACAACCAGCTTTACTCCAAACGCAACTCAAAGCCTCGCCTGGTAGAGCATCCTTTATGTCAGATGATTCCCACCCCACTGAGTTCTCCATTTGAGGTATGTGTGTGTGGGGCTGAGGTACATCAGAGGCTTCCGACTGCTGTTCTCCATTACTGATCTTCACCAGTTTTCCTGACGCTCCTGGAACTGTTCTGTGAAGCACATAAGTTTATTTTTAAATGAACGTGAAGCACTGAGTTTGACTTTTTTATTTTAATTTTTTATCTTCTTAAAGTTGTGCTTTAAATACTGTATTTCACCTTATAAAGAGAAGAATTGCCTAAAGCCTTCCCCCTCTGGTCCAAAACCTGAGCACTACCTACATGAGTAATATGGGATTTTGGTTTTTATTTTTTATAGCTAAGTACTTCCTCTTAAAGAAGAAATATCGAGATGTACTTGTGGCAGCCTCCTCCCATTCATCTCTTAAACTATGAATGTACATGTAATGTGAAATTTTGCTTCTATTTATAGTTTGGGGTTTTGTTTTCAGTCTGATTTCTCAACTGTAAAATATTTTTGCTGAACCTGTTACATATGGAAGTCGTGGGAGAGTTCATTATCTTAAGTGTCTTTGGTACTGTGGTCTTATTCTACTTAATCAATTTCTGTTCTATTTCTCCTTTTGTTGCTGTGATTGGAAATAGCACTGAACAAAATCTACTAAAATTAAGTTATTTTTTTTCTTTCTACTAAAATTAAGTTATTTTTTTCTCCTGAAGATACTTGATATAGTATTTATTAGCTTTTTTTTTTTTTTGAAGTGGAGTTGTTACTGTTAATCTATTTCAAAACTAGTTACTTTACACTTTAAATTTTATAACGGTGGTTTTGCATGTTGAACAACATGTAAGGAGTTATGTAGAGTCAGCATTACTGGAGCTGGAGATCTTAATTTTGCATCCTTGTTACGCTTTTTGCCTTTCAGTCTTCAGTTTGTTGGTTTTTTTGTTGGTTGTTTTTCCTAGGAGCGTAAAAGAGGGTGTGCCATAAGACATCCCTGGTGTATGGAGCAGGGAAAGGTTGAACCAAGTTTGTGTTTGACGTTAGTATAGGAATAACTCATTAAACTGATGCTGTGAGCATACTCTGTACTGCAGTGAATACAGGACAAAAGTTGTTGGTTTTTTTTTTTTTTTAAAGGAAAACACAAAAAAGACTTTTCTCATTCTTTCCTCCATCACAAACACGTTGTTCTCATAGTCTGGTATTTGTGTTCCCACTCGTCATAGCTTGAATTTCTAAAGTAAAGATGTTTGCACTTATTTTTGTTCCTAAGGTGACTTTTTTTTGGCGCTCTCTCTCTCTGTATCTCCAACTTGGAGCTGCAGTAGCTCTGAGCATCTTTTCCCAGGGGTTCGTGGCTCTACAGAGAAGTACTCAAACCATTGCACACTGGGCTCATCTTTGCAGGAACTCTGTCACTGTGGGGCAGTCTCTGTCTCAGTAGGGGACGGTGCTGCACTGCATTTTAAACACTGGATTTGTCTTCTACTGCAAACAAATACTGTGAAGTTGATGTAAAATCAAAAAAATAACTCACGAAAAAAAATCATTGATATTTTTAATTGTTTTTAATCTTTGGTGCAGTTCAGATTAAATATGTATATTTAAAGACACTAATTTTTTTTTTTGTGGGAGAGTTTTATAGTATACAGTATGTAGAAAAAGCTATTGGAATGGAGTATATTTTATAAGAGCATTCTATCACTGTTTTATAGTGAACTATTTTTCCTTCAGTGTTAGCGTTGTGCTGTTAGCTTAGGTCTGACAATCGCAGGGAGAGTGACTTCAGCTGTTGTTAGTGCTTAGTTTTGCGTGGAGTTCTGTTTGCAACTGTATTGGTATGTGCTGTACAATGTGACAATCGTGACTAGGATTGTTGTCTTTACAAACTTCCACAAAATAAAATGTGCTAGAGTTGTAAACTTGAGCCTCCTCTTCCCCCTGTAGCGGAAGGGGAGGGTGGTTGGGGTTGTTGTGACGTACAGCTGGTGCTGCTGCTTTTATTGCGTTTGTTAAAGTTGGAAAAGACCTCTAAGGTCATCTAGTCCACCTGCCACCAATATTGCCCACTAAAGTTCATGCTCCACTATTTCTTTTTTTTCAGGGTCGGTGGGAATTGTAGATATGCAAGGTGCTGTGCACGGTTGGATCCCGAGCCCACATGGATGGAGGGAGCTGTGCAGGCACCAAAACCTCGGTGGGTTTGGAAGAGCTGAGCTCTGCCCCGGCTCCTGCTGTCCTGCAGCTGTTTGCCTTCAGCAGGAGCTGGGGTTGGGAGGAGGAAGACATGAGCTGCACGCACCAGCTGCTGTTTGCGGGGAGGAGAGGAGCCCACGGATGGTTTTGCACCTGTATTATGTCTTTTATTGCTTAATTCTTGTGAGGCAAAGGGCCCTGCTGGAATCGGGCTGCTTTGGGATGGTGCTGCTTAAGGGAGGGGCAAATGAGAGGTGGTTCTGGTGTGCAGGCACAGCTATCTGCCCTCCTGCTGTCAGGTTGTCGCTCCTCTGCAATGCTATCAAAACAGGAATATTTCCTGCATTTAATCGTGCTTGGTGCAGTCTGCGTGTCCATCGCCATCCATAGGGAGCACTGGGCTGTGTGTCATTCCTGCAACATCTGGTTCTGAGGCAAAATCTTAGAAATACTTTCAAGTTTGTATTTCTGCTTTTGGGGAGGGAGGAGGGTGGAAATCTCCCCGCAGTTGCTTTGTCTGTGGCATGTTCTTTAAATGAGTGGAAGGAAGTATAACTCACCCTGCTCAAATCTGGGTGCTGCACTAGGGAAACAGCAAGCTTTCCTTGGTGGGGAAAGAGGAGGGTCTGGGGGTGGGAGGGAGAAGAAACAAGAAGAGCTCCTCCTGGGAGATGGGCAGCTATAAATAACTGCACATAGACTGAGGGGAGCAGCCCACGTCTGTGCTGGTGTGGGCATGCTGTGCCTTTTTTTGTTGTTATTGCTGTTGTTATCAATTGCTAATGTGAATTCTGGCACTCCAGATCCTGATGACTGTTGTTCTGATAACATAATTAAATCTGCGGAATGTGAAAGAAGAAACCCAGCTGCTGAGTTGATGCTGGAGGGGCTGTGTGCGCATGGAGGGACCAAAGGAACCTTCAGATGCTTCTGGGCGCAGGTTCCTGACTTGCAGGTACACAGGGAGTATTGCTGCCCTTAGTTATGAGTGAGGGGTAATAGCATAGAATCATAAAGGTTAGAAAAGACCATTAAAATCACCTGGTCCAAGGTGACCCATCCTCATCATGCCTGCTGACCACGTACCTCAGTGCCACATCTCCATAGTTCTTAATGCCTCCAGGAATGGTCACTCCATCACCTCCCTGGGCAGCTGTGCCAATGCCTCACCACTCCAGAGAAGAAATTTTTCCAACTGCCCAACCTGAAGGGAGGTCTGTCCTCCCAGCTGCGAGGGTCAGTCCTGGAAGGTGCTGGCAAAGAGGGTTCCCGCTGCTCTTGTAAAGCTTGGCTCTTGTTGAGATGAGTCTTACGAGATGTTTTCACTTTTAATTTCTGTTTTCAAGTGACTTCGAGAGGTGATTTGGCCTTGGGTATGCATAACAGTTGCAGTGTCTCTAGGCAAGTGATAAGGGAAGCCTCCATGATAAACATTTGGGGTTGGGGAGCATAGAGAGGATCTCTTGCCCAGCTTGGTGGTGGCACCTCTGCTGTCCAGCTTCTGTGGCTGTCATTGTGTCTGAGCTTCAGTTGCCTTTGAGTATTTTTCTGTGCCTTCTTGCTGAGGTATGTGCACAGAAGAACATGAGGCAGCAGCTGTTATCTGAGGAAATCAATGGCAGGTGTGACCCAGCAAAAACAGCCTATGTAGAACAAAGCTGGGCTTGAGTGAAATGGAGTATGGTGTGGTTGGTGTGTGAAAACGCCTTGCCCTGAGAGGAGAAGGAAGAACTGCACACAGTGACCTGCTTGGGGAACATTTTGTCTCAAATTACTTGCTGTTTGGTATTGAGAAGGACTGGACTGGAAGTGCTGTGGATTGAGCAACTTTGCACAGAGAGGTGTCTTTCACCACAGTGCATCCAAGGGCTGCTGCTCTGTTGCCCGTGCATGTGACTGAGGTGAGGATGATGGCTGAAAAAGAATGTAGGGCACTTTCCAAGCTTGTACCTCTGTCTTCTTGACTGGTTCTTTTCATCCCAATTAAAAAATAAAAAATATCACTAGCGCTGTTGAATAGGAGGAGAAAGAGCAAACAGTTCAGTTATTGTTACCTGTTTCCTGTTTGTTATGCTCCGTCATACAGCTGCACACTTCTGTACACAGCTGCCTCCCGGCTGCCTCCTGTGTCCTTTTAGAAGGAGCTGTTGCAGAAAATAAAAGTGCTTGCTAACCTGACTTTAAAAATAAAGACCTATTACTGCAGATGAATACAGGGCCTTGTACGTGCATTGAGACAGCAGTGCTGCCTTCCCTGGTGGGTGGTCAGTTCTCTGTCCCCTTCAACCCCATGGTATAATGCTAGCAACCCTGGCCCCAGTCCCTCTTCCTGAGCTCCTAGTCCATCTCCTCAAGCCCTCAAGAAGCCCTGGGGGTAGAGGCTTTTCCCAAGTGGGTTTGGAGCAATGTGCTTTTGGGACAACATCACCAAGAAGGGGATGATATTAGACTTGGTAACACAGGAATTTGGGGAAAACAGCAGTTTAAATGATGCCTTTACTCACAGGATGTTCCTCCCTGGGATGGCTCAGCCCACATACTAGGTACTCTGTTCCCCAACCTTCCTTATCTCTCCCTTCTTTCCTGAGCTATCCAGGTGGTGTTAGGAACCATCTGCTGCAGTGATTCAGCAGAATCCATTTAGTGCTTTCCCAGTGAGGCCAGCATCTGCCAGGCAAGGGGGAGGCTGTGGGGAAGCCCAGCACATCTGCTGCTGTGGCTGCAAGCAAGGCTGGGGTCAGCCCCCGGCCTCATCCCAGATGCCCCCTGGATGGTGTGCAGGTTGCAGCCACCCCATTAAGTGCATGCCATGTCCCTAGTTGTGCCTTGCCTGGCTCAGGCCAAGTGGTTAATTATCAAATGGCCATTTTGGCTCAGGCTGTGCTCAGGAAGAAGCTGTGCCACAATTTGCTGCGGTGTCTGTCTGGTGCTTGGCAGGCACTGGGTGTCCTGGCTGGTACGAGGTAGGAGCCAGACAGGGCTGTCATCCCTCCCCAAGGTCGCAGTGAGGGAGCTCAGGCTGGAAACATGAGCATCACAATGCTTGGTGCACGAGTTAGAGGAAATAAGGCACTAAGTTTCCCTTCTGGGGCAATAAAGCAGCTCCAGTGCAGTAGGAGAGTAGGGCAAATGTGAGTATGGACTCTGTGTGAGAGCATGCTTGCAGCAAGGGGAAAGGATAATCCCAATTTGCTGTTGGACAGCACAGATCCAGAATTTACTTGGGCTGGGTTCTGGACAATTGCTTGACTCTTGCTCTGGGGTGAGGGGAGGTTGATTGTGCAGATAACAAAATGAATGTTATTAGTGATGCTGACTTCCTGTTGCTGACAGCCCATTGGTGAGACCTAAGCCAGTGCCTGGCAGCAGCTGCCAGCAAATCCTGAGTCAGTACAAAAAGTAACTGCCTGGCAAGGTGTTTTGAAAACACCTGTATGGATTTGAGCCTCTGGCAGGAAACATAATAGATCTTGTGTTCAAAAACCCATCGCATCTGTGCTATAGGTTATGGCAACAAACGCAAGGAAAGGGAATGGGCATCTACATTTTTCGCATAGCAGAAAGAATCTTTATTTTACAGCAGGCCACTGACGTTTGGAGGAGCAGAAACTTTTCTCTCCCTTTATTTATAAATTAGTTAAGAAATCTTATTTTTGGTAGACCAGGAGTAGCTACAAAGACTAGGATTTCAACCCTTCTGATCAGCTGTCAGAAGAAGCTGATTTCCTTTTAATCATTTCTTCAGAGATCCTTTTACATGGCAAACAGCTTTTTTTTTTTCTTCAACTGTTTTGTAAGCAAAGCTATTCGCACTGCTGCTTTCCACACACAAAGTCTTTTAGAGAGGGCTGGAAGAGCTCTTTCTGGGTATCTGCTCTGTCCTCCCACTCCTGTGCAAGGCTGGCTCAGCTCCTCGTGCTACCTGCAGCGGCGTCTGCCTTTCCCTTAGCCTGGAGAGCTTGTTTCTCCCCGCAGTGTCTAATACAGAGTTCATACTCTTATGTTTTTGTTTATCTGAGAGGCTCTGCTGGCAGTGTGAAGGCTGAGCTGCTCATGTGGTGAGATTGCTAAACTCACAAACCAAACACGGATGCAGTGTCTCGGACAAATCCACCAAACTACAGGATAAACTTATTCTAAAGCCTCCAAATGCCTTATTTTGTGGACAGTAAAGATACAGGGGGCTCCAGGGTGTGAGAGATGGGCCGTTGAGGCAATGTGTGTAGGAAAGGGAAGGGGCCAGCAGGGCTCTGGTCTTTGAAAGCTGTCTCCAAGCAAGGGGAAGGCCAGGCAGTGTTCATTGCTCCCCCCGGATCCCTCTGGGTTGTGTTTTGTTTCCTGGTGCCTATCCTACACCTAGGAGACAAACTGTCAGTTCCACGGCTCTGGGGGAGCATGGAGAGTTTGCTCAAGCTCGAGGTCACCTGGGGGTTGAATTTTGCTCTGGCCACGAAGCAGGTTGTGAGGTAGCAGAGCTTCAGTCCCTTCACAGCCTTTTGGGATTTGGGATCCCAGCCTAGGTTGTATTGCCCAGAGACAGCCTGCAGGGAGCCAGGATACTTTTGGGAAGGCAGCAATCTGGGATTGCAGACTTGAATGCAGAAAGGGCAGCTTTTTTTTGGAGCAAGGTACAAGCCTCTGGGCATGGTCTTACTCTAAAATGTCAATAACAGCACTGCTTCCTATTGCTTCAGGTGTTTGTAGGGATGGAGTACCCCCACAGCAATGAGCAGGGCAGAGGTACTGCAGAGGTTCTGCTGCTCACAATCAGCAGAATCCAGATTTCTTTTTATCTCTAAAATTAATCATAAAAACAGAATTATTAAGGTTGGAAAAGACCTCTAAGATCATCCAGTCTAACCCCAACCCATCCCATCATGCTCTCTGACCACGTCCCTCAGTGCCACATCTCCATGGTCCTTGAACACTTCCAGGGACGGTGACTCCACCACCCCTGTGGGCAGCTGAAAAGCCTGAAACTCTCAACAACAAAAGTCACCTGTCGTTTTTTTGGGGAGGGGGGACTCAATTTTTTTTAAGCGCTCCTGTAGAACTAGAATTTATGAGATCAGACAGCACTTTGTTCTGCAGTATTTGCAAACATCAAAAGGTGCCAGAACCTATGAACGCTGCTCTGAAGTGCAGTGTGAGTGCAGCAGCTTCCTTGAGGTGTTTTGCTGTGCCTCCAATTGCATGCTGGCAAGTTTCTGCAATGCCTTACTGCTCACCTTCAAATAAAAACTTGTGGCTCTTTGTTTCATTTGTTTCAAACTCCCCAAAAATGTCAGCTGCCTTCAGAATAAGGAAACCTAGGAGATTTATCTCGGAAAATTGTTCTTCTAAATGTGCCTTCTTGTGTGTGTTTTTTTGTTTGTTCATTTGGTCTTCAGGGTGAGTAGTGTGGCTCTGTGTAGTTGATGGGGCACAGGGGAATGCAGGAGGGTATCAAGAATGTAACTACAAAACCTGAATTCATCCCCCAGGATGATCTCATGCACAGCCACGATATCTGGATCTCTTAATTCTGGCCTCAAGTTGACATATCCAAAAGCCTTGTTGCTCAAATGTTAGTGCTGGGAGTTTCCCTTGGAGAGCCATCTTCCACATCATGACCTGGCACAAACTCCCTCTGCTTTTACAACTGCATTGTGCTAAAGGAGAAAAATAGATGAACAAGTATTCTTACTGCGTTGCTGGCTTTCAGAACTGCAGCCAAAGCTGTCTAATTTGTGGAGAGGTTTACAAGTCTTTTTTTTTTTTTTTTTTTTTTTTTTTTTTAATTTTTTATTTTTAGCCTTTTAGATGAAAGTCTTTAAGGTTGCCATCCCCCAAGATTTTTCACATGTGAATGTACCAATCTGCTGAAGATATATGTCTTTACAAGGCGCCTGTTTTACTGCCAGTATCCTACAAAGCTCTGCCCTGGTAAGTGCTGCTGGGGCAAACTCCAGTTCTGCAAAGCCTTTCTCTGTATGTTGCACAACTTTCAGGCAGGCACAGCGGGCTACCTGTAAGTCGCTCCCACTTCCTTGTGTACTTTGAAACCCTGAGGGAGGGAGAGATGAAAATGACTGAGTTATTGAGAACAGATGTTGCACAGTAGCAGAGAAACAAATATTTTGTATTTACGCTGCTTCCATCCAAGGGTAATGTTAACACCGTTAACTTGCCCTTTCCTCAGCATAATCCAGCTGCCAAGCAGAGTTGCCTGCTAATAAAGTTCTTCTTTAGAGAAGGATGAGCAGCAAGCTCATGAATATACCCAGTGTGAGTCCTCTTTCTGCAAGGCTGACTGCTGCACCCCTTCACCTCTGTGTCATCCTTCCCCTTGTCTGACCCACCGCTTGTCCCCTTGTGAGTGGCAGATTACTTTGTACAAACAGGAAAGACAGTAACCAAAGCTTTTTTGCAGCTTGTTCCTTCTCTAGTTTCTGGGTAAGAAGCAGACCTCATTTTTTTTTTCTTTTCTTTTTTCTTTCTGTAAGAAACCTACCTATGCCTCTCTCCAGGTCTTTTCATGTTCTTGCTTGCCATCCCCAGGATATAATGGGCATGGGGACCGCAGCTATTCCTCCATCCACTCTTTGTTAGACCCGAATCATAGAGTCATAGAATTGTTTGAACTGGGAGGGACCTTCAAAGGCCACCGGGTCCATCTCCCCTGCAATGAACAGGGACACCTACAGCTCCATTAGCTTCTTATGTTGCAAAGTGCCACGCTGGCTCTCCAGCCCCACAAGACGACATCCAGCAGCAGCACCTGCCTCCCGATGCATGCTGCAGGCAGTTGCATTGGTGGCACTGGAGTTTCCTTTGGGCTTTGCCGTGCCATCATTTGCCAGTTGGCTCCTTGGGCCCCTTGGTTCTCTCCTTGATGGACCTCTTCATTTGGAGCCAATGCGTGAGGTCTTTGCAAATTGAGCCTTGGGGCTGCTGTCTATGAGGTGTTGCTTTTGGTTTGCTGCAAAGCTCTCGGCAAACCTTTGTTTTGTTACAATAATAGTAAGAGGGAAAAAAGCTGATGAAGTTCCCAGTAGCTCGATGGAGTCTGTTAGTGTCAGCAGACAGGATAATTTACTCAGCCAATTGTACTGGCTCTGATTATTTACAGTAACCCTAAAAGCATTGCCTCCCTCCCAGGAAGGAAGCGCTGGTTGCTTTAAACAGCAAGAAAACACTTTAAACAAACTGAGAGGAAAATGCAA